GCGCGACGGGCGACTCTCACAACTACATACTTGATGGCAGGTGCCTGTCGAAAGTTACCGAACAAAAAGACCTGGGAATTACAATTTTGCACTCCCTGAAGTCGTCTTTGCAATGTGTTAGGGCTGCCAAGAGGGCGAACAATGTTCTGTTTGCCATTAAGCGAACTTTTGTCGACATTGATAAAAACTATTCGGCAAAATATACGGGACATTTATTCGTTCACATCTCGAATATGGAGTTCAGGCGTGGCGCCTATAGCTGCAAAAGGACTATTAGCTGCTGGAAATGTACAAAGGAGGGCAACGAAAATCGTGAAGGGCCTAAGGTACTCATTTTACGAATGTAGACTAGAAACACCTAACCTTTTTCCTCTTAAGTACAGGCAAATCCGAGGTGATCTCATACAGACGTACAAGATCGTAAGGAATCGGGACTGTGCCTTCCAGTTTGATGACTTCTTCACGTTTGCAACATCAACTAACCTCCATGGGAATTCTCTCAAACTCCGGAGAACCTTAATCCGTCTGGATGTCCGCAGACATTCGTCCTCACAACGAGTCATCGGTGTCTGGAACGGACTGCTTAAGGAGGTCGTAATGGCGAACCCCACAGATGCATTCAATTGCAAACTGGACGCATATCTACTTAAAAGATACCGTTTATATGCGCAAGAAAGCACTGTCAGTAGTCACCTACGCATTGGTGAAACCTATAGATAAAAAGTGTATATATATGTTACTCACTATTTTATAGTAACATATTTTATGCTGGATATATTATGCATACAAGAAAGCATTGAATGCTCACTGGCAAATCGGACATACCTACAACTAAAATTTGTACATGTATCTATGTTACTCAATATTTAAAGTAACATATTTTATTTACGCTGTTTTCAGTAGGGTCTTCAAAGGCATTGCCTACTACCCTAAACATAGTGAACTATACTGAACTATCTACTATATTTAGAGCCGTGTGGTTGGAAATTGAAATTGAAAATAAACAGCACCAAGAATGACTGCCAGATCAGTTTTTGAATAAACGCCTTAACATGCTAGAAATTCTGATGTTTTCATAAGGCCTTACTTTCTGTATGCGAAATAAGAAACTAAATATACCTCAAGTATAAATTTATTGGAATAAAAACCTGGGAAAAAAGCCTGAAGGGGAGGAAACAAGATATTTCGGCAACAAACTCCTGTCTTACACTAAAACATTAAGCAAACAGCACTAGTGGGAGTAATTATTGGAAAGTAGTTCAAGTATAATGCACGTTTCAACGAACCATTTGCCTGGTATGTGTATTTAGAAGGGGGAGTAGATTAGAGTTCCTCCAAGCCGTCACGTGCGCAATATTAACTAGTAGTCTAGTGGTTTTGGCGCATCTGGTTATCAGACTTGACGACCGAAATAAAAAAACAAACATTCCACTGGTTAATACAGAGTTGGCAAGACGCAAAAATATTCCACTGTTCCTTCACCCTTTCCTGTGGGCATTTAATTAGAAGCACCATTCACTGCGCGGAGAGCATTGTGATATTTTCGATCCTGATTTGAACCATGTCCACACTCTCCTCTTGAATCCAGTTGAAGAAAATCGCTGCATTGGCTCACTTTCAGGATAGCTCCCGCCCAGGTCATCCAACAGGTCACAAGGTCAGGGTTACACACGATGATACGGACTTATTTGATCTCATTTTTCAGGCTTAATAGGTTTTCAGCTTTGTTTGGTCATTAGAATCCCTGTCCGAACGACTGGTACGCGTGTGAAGAAGTGAGAGTACTCTTCGAAGCAAATCATGTAGGTGAATAACGCTCAGCTGGCTAACCTGCGTCCTGGGCTGACTCTATCGGCAGACCGCTCAAACCAATGTCAAGTGGTCTAGCCATCTGAATTGCCACAGCTTCCTCAATAGCGGAACAGTTACTGAAGGTTGCTTTATGATAGTAGGACACTCGCCGATCTTGTTGAAGAATATGGTCGTCCGGTTGTGCCTTGGAGATAAATGTAGAACCTTTGCAGGCAGTCGCATAGCGACTTCTAATATGCGATAGAGTGAAACCGACAACGGGACTAGCATGTTCCGTAAATAGGTTGATGAGCACTCTACCATTCAGCATACTCCTGATCGCAACTGAAAAAATAATGAACCTTTGGTAGGGTGTGGCATTAATTGACCGAAGGTCCCGGTTGAGAATCTCGAGGGTCGCTACCCCTGGGATGGGGTATGTCTGGCTGATGACGGCTAACAGTCCAGAAACAGCCATTTTGGTCTCTCTTGTCTTTTTCGGTTCCGCTCCGTTACATGTTAGAAGTCGCTATGCAGTTGCCTGTAAGGGCTTTAGATTGCTCTTCAAGGCAAAACGAGACGATCAACCGGATCGGTGGACGTCCTAATATCGATCATATGCCCAATTGCAACTGACAAAAACAAGGGCCCGGCAGCTCAATGGTAGAGTGTTACACTTGATGACCAAAGGGTCGCGGGTTCGGATCTCGTGTGATCCACACCTAGGATTGGGTATGCCCGGCTGATAACGGTTTCTTTATCTCTGCCTTTTAAAGCCACCTGGGTTTTTTAGAAGCAGAATCAGAACGTAAATGGCAAGTCCCTCAAACACAACGATACAATCAGCCAAGATGCACAAACATAACATTACATTACAGGCGACAGTTAATCAGACAATCCAGCCAGCGCCCGATATTAGTCGGACTGACATGTGCCTCGGCATCTCAAGGTCATAACGGGTAGCGTCTTACGATGTTGACCTCAATACATACCTTTTCGAGCGTCAGCAGGGCAACGCTAAATAGCCAGTGTCTGTAGCTGAACATGGGTTTCCATTGGCCACGGATCCTACTAGCGAAAAAAAACAGGTTTTTTGTGTCAAAAACTGTTTGGTAATCTTGCTGTAACTGTTTTTTTAGATATCCTAAAGCGCGCTGGAGATCCAATTACTTCATTAATGATGCGTTTTGAAACGTTAACATTTGCACAGCGTAGCCTGGTTCAACAATTTCAGGACAAAGAATTAGAGGTAACTACTAACTTCGCGTGCGCTCCGTATTCTTTTTCTTTTCATTAAATTGCGTTTAAATAAACAGATTTGAAAAATCATTCACGTGGCAGTATGCAAGCCCTACGTTAAGCTAACAATAAGATCAAAAAGGTCATTCGGCAAATAAAAATGTTTGCAGCCTCATCTCCTTATTAGTTTTTTTGTCTATGCCTATGCCAAATGTTTCAAAATCATTCTGAAGTGGAAGATACTTGTGATGAGATGCATTGCCTTTAAAAATAATTAGGTCTTTGTAGCAAAAATAAACCAAAGTTCATAGGGTATTTTCCTTACTTATGTTTCAAATTATATATTGCCGCTTTGAGAATTGCACATTCACTTTTAAATTTATGAATTTCGTAATCATAGAGGACCTTTGCTGAAGCTGTATGCAAGTTTAAATGTCAAGGACTGCAACACATTAACAAAAACACCACGTTGGGTTTAAATAACTAGTGTCGGATCGTTCTATATTGGGAGTTTGTCTTCCTATTTTCAATGGGTGCCGGCTGTTCCTTTTGTAAGCGCAGAGCTCAAGCTAGTTGAAACTGCTGCTATTGGCAAACAATGGATTTTGCAGTTCCCTCCCAAAGCGCAAAAAATCTTCATTTGCGTGGTCTGTTAGAACGAAAACAATGCAGGTTATTTGCGCAATCATGTTCTCGGTGGATCTTCTAAGCATCTGAACGCACTTCCATGTCTGAAACAGACCAAAATACCCTAGTTAAATTAGTAGCTTCTTTTCCATATCCCCCTCCCTGAAGCCAACATTTACAAAAAAATCTGCAATAGTTTTGCATCACTAAACTTTTCCCCACTTTATCTTCTATTTTCTGCTTTATGCAGAATGAACGTCAGATACGCGAGTTAAGAGAAAAACGTGAGAACGACCAAAGGGAAATCATGCAGAAGATGGCCGAAATTCAGCGACTCAGCTCCAAAGTGGAGGTCTGGAGAGAGCGGGTGCAGGAGGAATTCAACAGCAAGGAATGTATTCAGGACAAAATCTGCGGAGAGGTAGGTAGTCCAATGCGTACGATGCGCTCACAGTGAGCTTTACTCACTGTCCTCATGCAGATGTAACAGTCGAGCGACTCTTTGGTGTTGGTGATGGATAACCAGCCGTATGCGTCTACGATGCCTTGGTCTTTAATCTAGAGCCCTTGCAGACAGTCGCATAGCGACTTGTTATGTATGTTACAGTGGAAACGATGAAGACAAAGTAGAGCGAACTGTCCATTTCTGGTATATTAGCCGTCATCAACTGGCCATACCCAATCCCAAGTGTGGATCATACGAGATTCGAACCCGCTACCACTTGGTCAAGGAGGGCAACACCCTACCATTGAGCAACGTGTCCGTTGTTTTTAGCAGTCGAAAATATGACAATAATAAGACGGATGTCGCAATTTGAGATGA